GGTGAGACATGAGCCATCAATCTCATTTAATACCATTAATAAGAGAGTCTGTCAGACAGTTGATGTTCATCTGTTATTTGTCCTGTTAAACCTCTTGCTTCAAACCACAGAATTCCTGACAGAAAACCACAGAGCTTCAGGTGCATGTTTGTGTGTGTGCATGTGTGTGTGTGTGTCAGTGTGTGTCTCTTCCTTTGAGTATTTTTAGATTTTCATAAGGAGGTGTTCATATATTTTTAAGTGTACATGCAGGTGTGTGTGTGTGTGTTTGTATTTCTGGAAGGCAGTGAGGAATGGGTTCATGTGAGGATACAGTACATGTGTGTTTGCTAATAGGCCCGATAAAAAGGGATTTCTTTCTATAATACTTTTAAAATGTGAAATTGATTTGAAATTGAAATTAATTTTTGTGTTGTCTTGTCTTCTTTACGATCCAAAGGAAATGAATATTCAGTCTGTAATGATGAACATGTTTCTGACGGTTCTGCTCTTCTTTAACAGGGCGTCTCATCTCTGAAGAACTGCATTCTGGGTATGAAAATGCTGATGAGCTTCTCTCAGGTTAGAGAGCTGAAGCACATATTCATTCCACATTCTACTAAAAAAAAACATTTATAATGAATTCACCGAAATAAATAAATAAATGTAATTAACAAATTCTGTAACATATTTGATTAACGACTCAATACTATTGAAATACTGCTGTTTGCTTGTATATTAACAGTCTGCTCTCCTTTTTTAGCAAAAGAGTTCAAGACTGCATATTATGATGATGTCACCAACAGCAGTGGCCTAAAAGGTCAGTGACCTTTTTAATTGATCACATTATTCATTACCAGATGTTTAATAAATTCTTAGTCTCATGATCTGCAACAAGAACATATTTTGGCTTTTGTATCCAAACATATTGTGTGTTGATGCAGAAGAGATGGTGAAGGAAATCACACTGGGATACTATGATGATGTCATCACTGATGGACTGAAACCAGATCGTGAGACAGGTGTCACCCTGTTATTCTACAGCAGCATATAATATACTTTTAAATCAAAATATTACAGTATATTTAAGATAGATATTTACAATTTGTTCTGAATGTAATGAATGTGTGTGTCTGTGATGAATGTGTGAATCTGTAGAAGACATACCTGAGAGCTATGATGATGTCATGACGAGCGGACGGAACTCTGAGATCAAAAAAGGTGTTTTACTTTCTTATCAACTTTTAAAAATAATATTCCTCTAAAATCAAGATCATTACAGATAATATTTTAAATTACTGTTTTTTTGCTTATATATTTAATTTTGACTGATATTTGCATTTGTAGTGGACGCACCAGAGAATTATGATGATGTCATCATTAATAGACTGAACTCTCAAGGTGTAACAGGTGAGATGCACAGAACTACATGTTTATCACCCTTTGCATGTTTAGATGAGTATTAGACATTTGTTCAAGTCACTTAAAGGAAAAGGGATGCCTAAAATGATATGACATGTTTTTTGTCATTCTCGATCAGAGGGAGTTCAGGAGGAGTATGATGATGTGATAAGTGTCAGTGAAGATGTGAGAAACCTATTGGGTAAGTTATTATAACCCTTTTGTTCTCATTATATTAACATCTTTATATATATATTGGAATTTTTTTGACATTTTTCCAGTTTTTTTATACTTTTAAAATATTCATCCAATTACAACATTTGACATTATTTTTAATATTTTTAATAACAGATTATGATGATGTGTGTCACGTTGCACACACACGAGGGACGAGGAGACGCTGGAGAATATGTTGACAAGACTTTATTTACAGGAACCAAGGGAGACGAACTCAGGAAGACGTTTACACGAAGACGTTCACACGAAGACGTACAACAGCGGACCGAGAACTTGGGACTGGGAACACATTTTATACACACACACACAGGAGGAGGGGATGACGAGACATACCTGGGAGCAAAAAACCAAGGGAAACACCTGGGACAAATGAAATAAACTAATCAGGACAGGAACAGGAAACTAACCAAATAAGGGCATGGGAAGGCACATGGGGAGCAGGACACACACAATACTTTTAAAATATTCATCCAATTACAACATTTGACATTATTTTTAATATTTTTAATAACAGATTATGATGATGTGGAGGAGGAGTCAAACAAATAAGATTTGGCCCAATGATCATCCATTGCCTCTGTTCAACAAATTTGAACAAAGTTTGAGTGATATTGTTATTGATATGTCAAATCTTGGGGTTTTATGTTTTACCAAGTGTTCTTTTTTTTGTATTAAAACTTCTATGCCTTTGTCAGATTTTGTTGTTTAGTTTTTTGGCCTTGTTAATAGCAATAAAAAACTTTTCAGACATATTTTTGTGTTTATTTCAATAAGGCATTGCACAAACCCTGAAGCCAATGCAATGTTTAATGCACAACTGCTGCGGTGACCATCAAAGTC